CCCCAAAACCCCAAAACCCCAAAACCCCAAAACCCCAAAACCCCAGGAGGGAAAGATTGGGTTGAAGGTTTTGATGAATTATACAAAATAAGCTTCGCTACTGGCACTGGCACTTTTCTTCAAGACATTGAACCTGTACATAGAGCCTAGGAGTTACGGACAAGAGTACCTGAGCTTGGCGAAGGGATTTTGGGGTAGACTGTTCTGGGCTGCGTGGTTGATACCCCGTTCGCTCTTGTGGATGAGAGTGTTTGGTGATGGGGTGAGGGATGGTCTAGGGGAGTAGGAGGTGGGATATTATGGATATCGTCTAGTTTTTGGATTTCTTGAGTGAGAGAGGGGTCTCATTGGCCTTCATTGATTTCTTGTGCGATCTCATTGATGGTCTTTAAGGATAGTTGTTGGTTGTTTACTATGAGTGTATCGACTTTTGATATGAAATGATTCTTGATTTTGCGATATAAAACTGTTTTGTTAATATTTGGTTTATCTGGCTTAAAATTTTGAAAATGTAATCTTCGGCCTAAAATATATAAACAATACCATACAAATCATCATTACTTTATTATAAATAAACTTCTTATAACTTTTTCCAAGTGATCTAAAATTTATAGAAAATATTACCAAGAGAGGCTTTGATGGTCCTTAAAATATTTTTGATGAATTAATAAAATTGGATTAAGCTTCGATAATATTATCTTCCAATTTCCTTCATGCTCTTGAGGACTATCTTTAATAATCTTCCTAATCTTGGGAAAATTGTTATTATCAACCTTTATTACTGTCTTTTCTCGTCCTGTTTTCCAAGTTCTGGACAAAATGATTAAAAGCAACTCTAAATTTCCAAAACATCTACCACTGTACAAATAAGGCAGTAGTACAAAAAGATGTATCTTCCCCTATCGATTCCAAGCTAAGGCCATAGTTACACTAATCCAACCTTTCAACTCTGGTTGAAGCTATTATAACTGTGACTAGAATCCAATAGAATTCAGAAGAAGTATACGGTTTTGTGAAAAGATTATTTGCGCATTTAGTTCCTCCCATTGACGTTTACTTTTTAGATGATTTGGTCTTTTGATTATGGTGAGTAGAAGTCATCTGGCATGTATTCATTTCTTGTGTGATGTACTTTGATGATTCTGATATTCGGCAGTGGTAATGTCTGGGCTTTGAATCCAGGACTGGGGGAGGTGCATCAGCAGAGTCAATAGTGTAAGAGAGACTATTGAGGAGAATACTTGAACTAGAGTCGTATACACTTAGTTCAGTCTGACTCCCATTTTCTGCTTCCTGTTCAAACTCAGTAAATGTTTCTTCACTTTCTTGTGACTTACTCTGTTCCATCTTTTCTCTGTCCACTTCCTTTCTTATAGTCTCAAACATTTTCCAATCCCATTGCACTGATTTTATTCGCACTTTTGGACTTTGTTGTTCCTGTCTTGTATCCGGTTCTCGATCTTCGGAGAAATGGAGGTATTTTATTCGTGATTCTATTCTGTCAATTTCTTTGTGCATTTCTTCCCTAGCTTTGTTCTTTCTGCATTTATTCCAGAGGCAACTCATTTTATATTTTATTCTATAGGCGGTCAAGGTAGTGGGGTTTTGGGGTTTTGGGGTTTTGGGGTTTTGGGG